GCTCTGCCGCAATTGATGAAATGACCACATTAGCAATAGGCCAATTGAACTGTTCACTAAAATACTCTGCCCAGCGATCACGTTATCGTTCTTTATTGTGGATACTCTGTCCACGTTCATCGCAAATGGTCTCACCGACCGGTATGAGACGACTTCCAGTGCTGCGCATCAGATGAAACAGTCTTTGACTATTCCCTGATGCAGAAGCTACCTCTATTCCATTAGCTATGTTGGCCCACCAATTTTCGCGATCTTTCTCAAGGCTTTTTCTGAGTTGAAGTTGCAGGTGACACCGATCCTTATGCTGATCCTGGAAGATTGGGACCTTTCGCTTTTGATCCAGCAGGATTACTGACTCCTGAGAGATCCAATACCTTCGGCGAACACCGGGCTCAGTCACACAAGCAAGGTTTGCTGCTGCTGAGTGCCTCGAAAATCTAATTTGATTCCACTGCTGGTCTACTCAACTATGTCGCTGTTCTCGTAGCTCTTGTCCCAGCTTCTCCTCATAACGTGCGCAGACAGTTGAATCGCGCAGACGGTGATGAGCTAACTGAGGAGGTGATTTCTGCCGATGACCGATGAGTGAAGCGTAACAGAACTAGTGCATGTTCCGACTCAACGCCGGTAGTCCAATAGAATCTGCAATTTTGTACTGAACCACGCCAACGGTAGCTTACAGCCATGTGGTCAATTTGAACTAGAACACCATGTAGCCGTTAGACGTGAGCTGTGTTGAAAGTTGATGCTAGATAAGAACAACCGGTGAACCGCGCAGAACTGGAGTAGTCGATCAGCGTTCTGTTTGCTGGGTGGGGAGAGCAAAGTGCTCTCCAGAACAAGCTTCGGATGGGCTCAGGTTTACAACCTGAGCGTAAAAATCACCCGCGAGCAGTACAATATTAGAGCTGTGGCTTAACCGAATTAGTTTAGCGATTTTGTCGTAAAAATCGTCCTTTTGTGAAGCGGGACTGCAGTTGGTTGGTGCATACGCGGGAATGATGAACAAACACCTTTTGGTGTTGCTGCCCTTCCGAACACTAACTGAACCCTGAAGCCTCATTGCGCACAAACGACTCTTGACGGGTATCCAATCTATCAAAGAGGCTTCGACTTTTTCGTTTAGTATGGTCCCTACACCACGCCGACCCAATGAGCGGGATTCGTCATCTCA